GTTCTATATCTTTGCTTTTATCCTTTCTAATAGGTGGATCCCACTTTTAGCTTTCATTTTCAAACATAATGACAATAGATGTAGGCTCCACAAAAAGAATATCATTTTATGTCTTTTTTTTAATTTATTACAAATTACATAAAAATATTATAAATTATAGTAATTTTTAATATATAATTTAAAATATTAAAAAGCTATAAAAAATTTAGTTAACTTTTAAAAACTTATTCATGCCACATAAATTGAGACAAAGATAGTACTAATATATACTCCTTGTGTCAAACGATAGTTGTCTATTATTGATTTGTCACACACTTTAGGAAACAATAAATAATAGTAATATTACTCTTTTGAATATATTTAAATTTAATAGCAAGGGTAAAATAGATATAACATGATAAATTATCTTTTGATTTTTCAAACAGGACAAGTATTGTTGAACAACTATTTTTAATATAGTGAAAAAGCAAAGATGAAACAAAGGAATATCACCTAAGAAATTACTTATAAAGTATTATAAATCATAACAATTAACAATTTAAATGTCTAAAAACCTTATAAAATATTGGTTGACTCGAAATCTCATCTTTATATATAAATTAAAATAAAAGAAGTAAAATATATAATTGAATATTGTGTAAAGATACTATAATTACAATAATTATCAACTTAAATATCTAAAAGTCTTATAAAAAGTTGATTGATCTCAAAATTGGAACAAATAAGGTAATCCATATTATATAAAATCTACATTGAAAAGGTACTATAAATCACAATGATTAACAACTTAAAATGGATATAAAAAAAATTATTGACGCGCAAAACTCCATCTTTGTCACAAAATGGAACTAAAGGAACACATATATTATGTGAAAATACATTTCAAAACATACTATAAATCATCATAACTAACAATTTAAAATATTTAAAATGGATATAAAAAAAATTATTGACACTCAAAACTCCATCTTTGTCACAAAATGGAACTAAAGGAACACATATATTATGTGAAAATACATTTCAAAACATACTATAAATCATCATAACTAACAATTTAAAATATTCAAAATGCATATAAAAAAATTGATTAACTTTAAATTTTACTTTATATCATACAAATGAAAATGTATATATTGAATCTATGCTGACTCAAATATGGTAGTATTTAGTTTAATTTTGTTTTATAAGAATATGGCTTTAAAATGGAAGTGGACCACATAGTAGTTGAGACCCCCTATATAGTTGTTAATGGATAAAAACAAAAGGGGTGCTCCCTTCTCTAGCAAACATGTGTAGTGCTATCGACCACTAGCTCTAAATAGGTTTTTTTTTTTTTTTTTTTTGCTATTTGGTGTTCGGAGTTTATATTAGAGTCTCGATTAAATTTAAATTATGTATTGTAAGACCTATTTAGAGGTGATACTCTCGATAAAAAAAAAATCATACTTAGAGTATCAAATTAAAAATCTTTGATTAAGTTGAAGTAATCATACACCACAACTCGTAATGACTCTGAATAGACTTTTCATTTTGGATAATATCCTGTTGGTTTAATTTAATAATATAATATTTTTTTCTTGACAAATTAGCGATTTAATGCGATTAATTAATTTCCTTTGTACATCCCTAATTCTCATGAATCGTGATTAAACAACATCTTACTACTACAAAATATATGAAAAAGAGAGATATTTTTAAGCGAGGTTGTATCTTAAATATAATTTCTATGTATATTGGATATACTATATGTAATAAAATTTATTTATTGGAAGTGTTCATTGCGTAATGTAATTCGACTTTAAGGGTGTGTTTGGTATGAAGGAAAACATTTTCCAATTTTCATATGTTTGGTTGGATTAAATGTTTTGGAAAATATTTTTCAAATCAACTCATTTTCCTCAAATTTAAGGAAAATGACTTCCTTCAAATTTAAGAAAAACATTTTTCAAAACTCTCTTTCAACTTCAAATTACAATTTATTTTTTTTGTTGAAAAATCAATTTGTTTTGTCCCTACCCTCAAACCAGTCCCCCTCCAAAAAAATAATAATTTAAAGCTTATTTTTAAAAAATATTTGTAACTTCAATTTTTTACGCTACCCCCAGCCCCCTATCACCACCTCCCAAAAAAAATAAATATTAAAAGTTGTTTTTAAAAGATATTTCTAATTTTAATTTTATTTTTTTTATTTTTTTTACCCTTACTCCCTACTCTCGCCCCCCATCTGCCCCCCTATCAGCCCTCCACCCCCTTCAAAAAAAAATTAGTTTGTTTTTAAAAAATATTTTGTACTTCAAATTTTTACTTTTTCATCCCTATCCTCGACCCTCCCCCCACCCTCCAACACCCCAAAAAAAAATTTAAGTTTGTTATAAAAAATATTTTCATCTTCAAAATTTTATTTTTTCACCCCGATCCTCGACCCCCCCACCCCAACGGCCTACCCCTACCACCCCCCACCCCCACCCCCCAAAAATTGAGTTTGTTTATAAAAAATATTTTCAACTTCAAAATTTCATTTTTTCACCCCTATTCTCGAATCCCCACCCACCCACCCCCTACCAGCCCCCCACCCCCAAAAAAAAATTTAGTTTGTTTTTAAAAAATATTTTTAACTTCAAATTTTCATTTTTTCACCCCTACCCTCGATCCCCCCCCCCACCCCCCAATTTTATTTTATTTTATGTTTTTTCTTAAAAAATATTTTCAACTTCAAAAATTTATCTTTTCACCCCTATCCTCAACCCCGCAGCCCCCTACCAGCCCCCCACCCCCAAAAAAATATTTAAGTTTGTTTTTAAAATATATTTTCAATTTCAAAAAATTATTTTCTACTCTAGTAAAAATAAAAGATATTTCTCAAAAACATTTTTCATTCATAAATCAAACAATAAAAATCTTTTCCGCAAAATATTTTCTACTCACCAACCAAACATGAGAAAATAAGTCAAAAATCTACTTGTTTTCCAGGAAAACATTTTCTTTCGTACCAAACACACCCTAAAACTATAGTATTTTGTGAGATTTTCTCAATTTTTAATCCAAGCGTGTGGAAACGAAGACCCAACAAACAGTCGATTGGTGTATAACCAAGAAAGTCAATGTTCTTTGTTTGGGACTTGGGATATTTGACCATATAAATTCAAATATTTGAGCCTGAAATTTGATTAAATACAGAAGATTTTCAAAGTTATTTGTTCAAATACAACTTCAAAATTTTAAAATAAGTTTCAATTTTAATTATTTTTTTGGCCAAAATGTGATTTTTATTACTCCTATACAGTAGCAAAATCAAATTTAATTATTCAAAATGTGAAAAGTATATATTGATAAAAGATTATTTTTAAAGAGGAATCAAAACAAATATATATATATACACACACAATATACGGGATTTGTAATATAGAACATATATAAGTATAAAAAGTTCTTTTACTGATATACACAATATAATTTGCCATATAATTTTCCATTTGGTGGTGTCCAATACCACAATATCTATATTAAAGTCTGATTATTCCGAATTTCAAACACTTAATAGAGCTCAGTAATTATACGCAACTTATTTACAAGTTACAACGTCCATTCCAAACTAGAGTTAAAAAGTCATAAAGAAAAATGAATAAAGAAAAGGGATTCACAGTTACTCATAAAAAACACATTAACTTGAGCATCGCTTTTTTCTTTTTCCAGTTTCTCAATTAGGAGAAGAACAATAATATATATTACTCCCTGTGTTCCTAATTACTTGTTCACTTTTGAATTGACACACCTATTAAAAAAAAATTAATATAGTGAGTTTACCATTTTACCTCTATTAATCATGACGTGGATGAATTAAAAGATTAAGATTTTCAAAAGTTCTACATTTTTCAAAGTGATAAATTGAGGGTATAATAGAGAAATTTTCTTTTGTTCTATCTTGATTTATCAAAATGGACAAATAATTAGGGACTACTAAAAAAAGAAAAATGGACAAGTAATTAGGGACAAAGGGAGTAATATTCTCCGTAAAAATGAGTTTTCTAGAGGTTAATTCTTCTTTTCGATAGTAGTATATGATATTACCGGTCTTAGTTTTAGGCATTCCATTATTCTTCATTAGAAAAAAAAAAAATCAACTGGTGAACGTTTGGAGGTACTCAGTCCCTTTAAATTAATTTTTTACTTTTTCATTCATCTTTATTAAGTATTTTTATTTTAAACATATATCAATTAATATGAATATAATTATTGTTAGAATGGTTTGAATATCACATTATTCCAGTGACTTTTTTTTTCCAACACTCCTTATCAACTGGGTTGTATATTAATCGTTTTAACTTGATTTTAAAGTATGTCGGTTTGATTTAAGGATTATCAATTTGTAAATATGCTAAATCATTATAGAATTATTAAAATATTGACTGTTTTATTATTAATCATTATTGATTTAACCATTAAGAATTGACACAGAAAAAATCATTGAAATTATTTAGAAATAAGGTGATAAATCAAATAAATCATGCACATCTTGCTCAAAACAAATATTAACAATAGAAAAGTGAATAACCAAGAGTTTACAACAAAAAATAAAAGTATGAAACTAGACTTTATATTCTAAATAATATAAATAAAATAATTTAATTTTATTATTAAATTTAAAAAACAATTATCAAAATTGTCTAAAATTAAGTATTTTTTTCGATTCGAATTATCGATTTTACATACCACATGCCTCCTTTTTACGGCGTCCGAGATGGCACGGGAGCACCTAACCTTATCCCCAATGCTCATTCTCTTCTTCCTATGATTTACTGGTCACTCTTTTCCACTTGTATTTTCCCAATAATATTTCAATGAATATAATCCATTTATCTGAAATCTCTACACACATTGTTTCCTGCTCAGGAACATTTGGATATGTATCTCAAATTATCTTTTCTTACACATTGCTCATTATATTTTTAAAAATTGAATATTTTACCATCTCAAATACAATAAAGTAGTAGTGGAAAATTAAGAATAATATTCTTTATTCTTTACTTTTTCATTACAGCACAGAGGTTGGTTCTAGATTCTATTACAGTACCCTTTCAAAGATGAGCAGAATACGGAAACGGAAAATGAAAAAAACAGTTTCCGTTCATCTATCTAAATTTCCAATTATGTAGCTTAATACATTTATAATTTTTACTCGCTAAACAAAACAAAAGATTCACAATGTTAGAATTAACAAAATCTTTTAGGGTTTTTCCCTGAGAAGGGAAGCCAATCCAGTGACAACCACTTTGGTTTTCTTTGGCATCACTGCCGGAGGTTGCCACGTCATCATCACCGGCTTCTCTTCCTCGCTGGAAGTATTCTCCGACGGATCTGTTGTTTGATCGGAGTCTAACGGTAGCGTTTTATCAGAAAAAATCAAGTCTAACTCACCGTACTCACTTTCCGACTCCGTGATCTCAGCAGCGGCGTTTGATTCCACAGCAGGTGCGATACTAGTATAGGGACTGAGCCATTTGGCTTTCATATACTCCGGATTGCGCCATGGAGCGATGTGCATACCTTTCTTCTTCAAGCTTTGTCGAGCTGCTTCTGAGACGATTGACACTATTTGCAGAAGCCGATCGGCTTTGCCGACGAAGATAAACGGGAGCAATTGCAGAATTGATTTGTACCTTCCCGTCGATCGCGCTACTTCAAATTCAGATCTGAAATCTACGTCGAGTATCACTCTTTCGCCTTCCTCTATCACATCAATATACTCATATTCACCTGAATATATCGAATAAATTTAGAAAAAAAAGCACATTATTCACCGCACGAAAATACTAAAATTTGACGGAGCAAAACTCATATAAGAAGAACGAAGCATGTACCTGCAGGAGTAGAAGAAGCTTTTTCCCATTTGGATTTGCAGATTGAAGCTTTATAGCCAAGTGCTAAAAGTTCATCAGTGACAATTTTTCTCAAATCGTCCTTACGCTTGCAAGATTTGTTCTCTTCGAAGATTTTTGAAGCTTCAGCTAATAGATTCCTCTCGGTAACACTTGCACAGGGAATTAAGCTCTGAATTGCAACAAATATAGACAAAATGAGATTTCAATTAGGAATAAACTGCAATTCTAGAGAACTCTTTTTATATACAAGAGATTTTATTACCTTGAGAGTATCGGAAGAATCCCCAAACGAAGAGGAGTTGGTAACAGAGTCGAAATCAAACTCATCATCGGAGTTATCGTTGTTGCCATTAAAGCAATTGCATTTACGGCCAAATCTAGCGGCAGACGGCTTATCATTGTTCTCTTCTATGAAATTCTGAACCAATTTGTCTAAAGAAACCGAATTCGGCTCAAACTCAGCGGCTGGTCCATCATTAGCAGCGCCGGCGGCACCTGGCTTCTCAGCCGCCGACGAAATCCGTAAAACACTAGGGAACGGCCGATCAAAGAACCTTTTAAGTCGTGATTTCAGCAAAGGCTTTACTGCATCATTTTTGATCGATTCTCTGTATGTTGAAGAATCGATCGGTTGAACCTTCATCGGAAAAGGCATGTCTATCAACCACAACCACAACCAAAACAGGTACTACTTCTTCTACTGTAAAACTCTCTCTCTCTACAGCTTAATTATATTCTTTTGTCATTTTCTGCTGAATTCTCAGAGCTTTAAAAACCTACTCGCTTTGCGTGTCTAGATCAGAATCCTTTAAATGCCTAACTTCTTAATCACAGAAATACATGCAAATTCACAGAAATCAATGCTTTGAAAAGAAAATCAAGTTCAGCGCATTCATAATTCATTCACACCTAATTCACCTTTCCCTTTTCACACATCAAAAACCAATTAATACAATCGCGCATAATCCGTTCACCATTATCATCTTCACGTTTCCAAATGTGATAGAAAAACAAAAATTGTCAAATTTTGATACCTTTTTCTTCCTTTCACTCTTCGGAGTTGTTGGCGTAGTTGAACAAGAATAGAATGAGTGTAACAATAGTCGCCGGAATACCTTTCCTTTTCACGGGAAGGAGAGAATTATGTGAAGGAGAGAAAAAGTGGGCCTATATTTGTAAATGATTTTTCATTTCTTCTTTGTTTCTATTTTTATCTCAGTTTTGGTTTTTTGTGAAGTTAAGTTGAAATGAGAGAGTGGGGGTTTTGAGGAGCTTATATAGAGTGAATGTAGTTAAGAAGGTGAATTGTACTGTATGATTTTCTATGCCACATCAACTACTCCTTATGTATCTGTACGATTTATGTGACATGGTTCATTTAAATTTCGACAGTCAAATAGTCATTTAAATTTATTTATTTTTAGATTTTAAAAATAATTTAAATTTATTTTGTATTAAATTTTAAGAGTTAAATCATTTAAATTTGATCATAAAATTTTTAAAAAAAATTAAAAGAAAATTTATATATTTTATAAGCTATTTGTAAAAATAAATTGTTTGAATTTCGAAATTTAAAAAGTGTCACGGAAATTGAGCGGAAAAAGTAACTACTCCTTCCGTTTTAGTTTATATGACACATTTTAAATATCGAGATTTAAATAAGTTTATCTTTGATTATAATATTTTTTATATATTTTTTAAATATTTTGAATTGTCAATAGTACTTTTTATGAGTATAAGTTTTATATTTCAAAAGAAATTGAAGATTTTAAGAGCAAGTTTTCAATCAAATTTAAATTATTCGACTCATGAAAAAATGAAAAATGTGGAACAAAGAAAGTAGTCCATTATTTTTCTGTATGTCAATTTATTTGTTCTATTTAATTTTGATATAGTTAATATGTGATGTGTAAAGTTAAAATAAACAAATGAAACTTAAAATAAAATAAAAAATAAGAGAAACAAATTAGTGACGCGGACGGCGGAGATTGGGAGTTATGTGAGAAGCTTTGTTGAGATGAGTGGTAAAAAACTTCAGATTATGACACGTATAGGGAGGTGTGACGCGGACGGCGGAGATTGGGAGAGGGAAGTAAAAGACGAGGTGTTAGACTTGTGTCGTTCCGGAATTTGTAACGTATAAACTGAAACGGCATGAGAAATTTTGGATTTTTTTGGGGACCGATTGGTGGGCTTGGTATAATAATTATTGTCTTGCTAAAAAACAAAATTGGTTAAGGGCCCCCTTTATTATTATTACTTTTCATAATAATTATATTATTAAGAAAAATGTTCAAAATTGTCCTTGTCATTTGTAAATTAAAGAGATAGTATACTGTTGCTCTCCGTTTAAAGTTAAGGTCAAATGTTCTCGCCCTTATAAAACTAGTACATATTTTATATAATAATATATAGAATTGTTATAAAATAATAAAAATAAATAAATAGGAAAAAGAATTTCAAAGTTGCCCATGTCACTTGTGAAATATCCAAAAGTTTGGTTTACTGATTATTTTATGTTGCTTATATTAATGACATTTATTTAATGTAAAGATACATATTTGATCTTAGTTAATTCATTTTGAAAGATCTTAAATATTCTTCTCTACTTATTTCAAGTTAAATAATTTTTTAATATTTTTGAAGTGTTTGTGTAAATTTGAAAAATGCTTATAAGCTAAAATAATTTAAAAAAAATCAATTCAAAAAGACTTTTAATAATGAAATCTTATATGAAGGTTAATAAAAATCCTTTACGTAATCTACTGGTGAATGAAGAATATTTACGGTTACCATCTTTCAAATTTCATCAACAACCATCAAGTATTATATCTCACATTAAACAAATACCAATGATTAATATAAACATACATAAAAATTAAAATAACTTGTAAACCAAACAAGTAAAGAGACAGTTTTGGACAATTTCGTAAATCATAGGGACATTAATATTGAATATTTTGTCTATTTTTTAAATTATTATATGACTTCTGTTAGCAGAGTTGGTAAATGAGACGAAATATATGTCAATTTTGTAACGACAAGAGTATTAGTTGATCCCAACTTTAAATGAATGGCAAGAAAATATATATTTTTTACAAATAAGAACTACTATATATTATGCATATAGCATTCTGAACAACTGAGTAACTTAAGCTTTCCCTTTAGCATCTTTCAAAATCTCTTCCACATGTTTGTTCCAATTTATAGCATTACCAAAAGGTGAAGTCAGAATTTTAATATTATGAGTTTTGAATTTATGACGATGGTTTCAAATGTTAGTAACTGAATTCTAAACTTAATATTTATATATATTTAATAGATTTCTCAATACAAAATATGAGTATTGGGTTCATCCGAACCCATACCCGGCTTGTAGCTCCGCTCCCAAGCATTAGATTGAAGTTTCTCGATCAAACCTATTCTCAAGCAATTATATTCCAGAGCCTTTATTGTAATTGTGTTCACCATATTAGCTTGAAGTCCAGAGACAACTGAAAATTGATCAAAGCATTGGTAAAATGTGGCCACAAAAACTTGGTCACCTTTTTCAAAAAATAAAAATAAAATAGATCATATGTAAGATATATAGGTAAGAAATACCAAATGAGTGTGCTACCTAATTCAGTGCTAGGTAACCAAGATAGTATCCTAGAGGAGCTTTCGTCGCGTTTGATAGAGTATATAAAAAAAATAATGCATGCATTGACTTTATGTATTAACAATACCTTATTTCGTACATTCTTTAATTCTAGGCTTTCAGCCATTCAAGCATTAGTTAGATAAATCTATTATGTATTGAGGTGTATATTATATAATATATGGAAATTCATTGTATTAATAATACAATTACCCTCAAAAAGCTATAATTTTTGCTTTCTGTTTTATATAAGACAGTATAACAGCCAATACATATACTAAATTACCCACTCTATACCATTTTCAAATACTTTAAAAGACTCATAAACGGTTTAAAATTTGACAAAATGAATTTAGACATGTTCAATACACAGTTCTTTTTTTTTCTTCTCAAAAATTAGAATAAGAACTTCTTAACAATATTAAAAACAAAGGTAATTGCATGCATTATGCATACTCAATTTGGTGAACTCTAAAAAACCGCCAAGCTATATGAAAACATTTTGAGTCCTAATATTTTGCTGTTTTGGAGTTGCAATAAGCATTTGGATAATAACAAATGATGTGTAAATAGATTCAATAAGTACCACAATTATTTGCATAATTATGCTATTGGTCCATTTAAACCTAAAAGTAGAATCCACATGGCATTTATTAATGTATTTTTGGTCAAAAGTTGAATAGGTATCATTACTCAACATTTACACTAGAAATCAAATTACCTTTGATTTGGTCCACAAGCCATTTTACGTCATCCCAAATTAGAAATGGTTAATTAGGAACTTAAGAACTGAATTTGGAGAAACAAATAGAAGGAGAAGATGAAAATAAAACAAAATACTAGACACCAAACATAAATAGAAAGTCTGAGAAGTTTTATTTTTTAATATTTGTTAAAAGTGAGTAATTTTTTTCCCGTCAAATATGTAACACATTTCATATCTAAAATTAACAAAAAAAAATTTAAAAAAAAATCAACCAAAATATCAAAAGTCTCATCAAATACTATAAATGTCATACCAAAAATAATACCAAACACCAAACGTAAATAGAAAAATACTCCAAAAATTACATCTTAAAACACCACACGCACCAAAAATACCAGAAACTGCGAAATTACAATTCCCCTTTATAATTTTTTTTGTCAATATCTATTAAATTTAATCATATTAAATATTTAATAGAGAATAAAAATTGTGATTTTTAATAAAGACACAATACATAAATATACCTTTTAGCTTGGTTTCAGCTGACATCTATGCCCTCCAATTTTGAGTGTGTACAAGATAGACACTTGAACTTATATAAAATTTACCAAATAGACACGTCCGTTTTATGTGGCATCCAACCTGACAATTTTCTTCTTAACTTCTAGTCGAGCACTAAAAATCTTCCAAAGGAAAGAAAAAGAAAGCATTAGTATTAGTATGCATTTGTAGATTTCTGAAATTAAATAAATATATTATTAACAAATTGTTGAATTCCCTAAAACTAAAAACTAAAAAAACTTTATAAGAATGCCGCCCTTGGTGCAAAAGGATTGCATATCTCTTATAATATTAGTATGCATTAGTATTGTGCTTGAAATTTTGCATAAGATTGTACTGGACAGAAAACTAACACTCAATCCCTTCCAATTTAGATATCATTGTTTTGAAAAAGCATAATGTCATACTCTACTAATAATCATTAATTAATTTTTCTTTTAAATAACATAACTTGTTGTGTACCCTACAAGATTAAGCAGAGTAGTTACTGGTACCAAAAATACTAATTTTAAAAAAATTAATTTTCTCGGGCTCTCTAATATGAGATGTATAACGTGATTATGCTTAATTAACTATTACTTGGTTAACTAGCTAGGTAGGACACTCATCCTATTTTTCATAAATATAATTAGAACTAACTATTCATATCATATTAAATTAAAAATAGCGGTCATCTAAAAAAAGCGAGATATTATATTGTATCTATACGTAGTTTAAACTATTTCAGAAGGGAATGCGTTAAAATATTTTGTTCTCGTTTATGAGTAAAATCTTTTGTCATATTTCAGATTTATATATTATAAAAAAAATTTAAAAAAGTTTTTTATTTTTTTGGACCTTTCTTTTTCTAATGTGACTAATCAAGAAAAGTATTTTCGAGGAATTACTGTTTCCTTTGCACGCATATGTTTATTCTTGTCGGGGTGAAGGTGAAGTATATACAGAGCCCCCATCTTTTACACACTATTTATTCTTATCCACCATTTATTATACTTTAAATTATAAAAACATGTACAAATGTTAAATGCATATAAAGAGATGGATACTTTGTATTTATTGATCTTTGAATAACAAAATATACAAATTAAATAAGAGTTTATTAGGTTTTAATTTGTTATGATATATATATGTCAAAATCAAGTACTTTTTCAAAAATAACTTTTCTACTTCTACGAGGTTACGTTACATTCAATCTCCTTATAACTCCATCTATAGAATTACATTCTTATAATTGTTCCACAAAATATTTGTTTATTTTATAAATTTGACTTTTTAAGTTTGGTTTAGCAATAATGATTCTATAAAACAGTTGTCTATTTTATTTTGTTGTATAATACAAAATAGATAATTGTAACTTTTAATTCAACTTTCTGTTAAAGAGTCGCTAAAGATTTTCATAGAGAATTTTAATTATAATACTATAAATTATTATTGCCGTTTCATTTTGAATATGCAAGAAATATAGTCACAAAATATGAAGAAATTAATGTGCAACTTTAAAGGGACAACAGTGTTGATGACATTAACTTTTTTGATGATTGCTCTGCAAAAGTATTGCATCGCTTTCTTTATAGTACTATATATACTACTCATTATAATTATTTTTCATTTTATTCCATGTAAACTTCTAAGAACATGGCCTTGTTATCGAGTTTTTTTTTTCTTTTCTGGCTTCTCATCCGATATTCGATAATTATATTGGAATTCAATTAAATCTAAATTCGCATAGAAATTTTTTATATTGAAAGTAAAACGCTTCCTAATAAAGACGATACCTTTTGTTACACTTTGAGCTTTTTGTTTACCTTATTTTAACTTTTTTTGGGTTAAAATAAAGTTACATACTTTCTTTATCCTAAAATAAGTACTATCACACATACACACATATACATACATATACATATTCTGAAATAAGTGTTTCTTAAAAATTTAAAATAGAAATTGATATTTTTTATCAACTATATCTTTATATTTCATTTATTTAATAGTATTGGATTTTCAAAAATTATTTATTAAATATGTGTAATTCAGTAAGCTATACATCATATTTATTAAATTTTTAATAAACATAATTTTTATTAAGACAAAAAAAAATAAAAAATAGTGATTATGTATCGTCCTTAAAAGATGAGACGAGGCTTTGTAAACTGAAGATAAAGCTATAATTGAATATCTGTGACTTATAATATAAGCATACATAATCTTAACAACTCTGGCACATCATAAATAGCAATTGAGAAAAAAAAAGTTTTTCTGTTATAGCAATTGTCTTACTAGAATTAAATATGTTGAAAAAGGTTACTGTGCGTTTTATTAAAAATTGTAATTAAATAATTGAAGTAGGCCAATATGATAATTAAAATAAATATTTTATTATATCTTTAAGAATAATGAATCTAATGAAAGTAATATTTAAGAATAATGAATCTAATGAAAGTAATATTTAAGAATAATGAATCTAATAGATTAAAAAAAAAATATTTTTTAAAAAAATCATCGGGGTGACCTGGTGGTTTGGGCTTTGGATTTCCATGTTGGAGGTCTCAAATTCAAAACCTCTTGCCAGCGAAAGCAAGGGGTTTGTCTTCTGGGTCGAACTCATCGCACTGGACTTGCCGTGTGAGTTACCTCTCCTATGTAGTTTACGAGTTATTGCTTAGGAACGGAAAAAAAAAAATCATGTGGAGAAAATTCACGCGGCAGTGCCTTTCAGTGTTCACTCTCTTGAAATGTGATTGTGTCGGGAAAAAGATTATCAAATAGCCTTAAATCATAATAAAAGGACCTTATGAATTATTAGTAGGTATTAGGTAATACTCCTTTCTTCTTATTTTATTTGACATTTTAAAATAAATTCATTTCAAGAAAATGATATTTTATTATAATTAAAAATAATTTTAATTTTAATTTTAATTTTTTTATTAATAAAATAACTTATAATCACACAAATGTTAAAAATTTGTTTTAGCTATAAATTTTTTTAAAAAATCATTTTTCTCCTACGTATTTATATAAAATTAAACAGTGTCACATAAATTATGATGAATAATACTCCATAATAGACTTTCAAGTCACATCCATTACCTTTTTCTTATTTTAGGATTAGACTAAAAAATATAAATTATTAAGGTAATGTGTAGATGAAAGGACCGACTTTGAAATTATTGGGGGCTACAAAGGAAAGCTAGTGGTGGTGAGTCCTTTAACAATCCATTTTACCCTATTCTTCATTATTTGCATTTTTCAACCACGGATTTACTTCCAAGTGGCTTTCTTAAATGAACTCATCTTCTTTTCTTTTGTCTACTAAAATTGCACACATTTTAATCATTACCGTCACTCTACTTATAGTGGGGTGTTATTCTGGGATGACTCAGTTGGTTTAGAGGATGGTCATCAATATGAATGATTCAAAATCGATCTTTTTTCAATGTCTTTTGAATTGAGCTTGTTGCATAAAGCTTGTTTAGTGCGATTTACATTCACTATGTGGTTTATAAGCTATTATACCGTGGGATTTATCCAATGCACATAAAGTGTATGTTTTGTGGTTATTACATAGTGGGAGTTCACCCAACGGAGACTGATAAAGATTGTAGCGGCTGCGATTCCAAAAGAAAAAAAAAACGAAATTCAATAAACTATTTCAAAGATCAAATATCTAACATAAGATGATCTGGTTATGAATGCTTGACTTAATTAAAAGTTGTCTCCCATATCTACGTAGTAATGAGAAATCTTGTATGTAAAATACCTCGAAGACAATCAATCTGCATAAACATCCGTTTCATACAGTTACCATGACCGCCTTGTGCTCCAATTACATTTTAAGCTTAGATTGAATAGTAAAAAAATAATAATATTATTCCTCAAAATTGGTATACTTCCTAGGAACAAGTTCCCATTGCTGTTAGCCAACTGCAAGTGTCAATTTCAACTTCGTCTCCAACAAGTGAAAGTAGCTAAGTGTATCACCATATCCAACATCTGCAACCTGTTGTATCATTTAGTCCTTCAAACCATCGATCCCAGGAAGGATTTGCGGGACCATTTGTTCTGGAAGAAAATATAAAAATAAATCAATAGAGGTGTCACAAAGACAATGGCATATTGCATAAAAGCAAAGAGTTTTCTTTACGCTGGTAGTAGTGGATCTGGCCGAGTTTCCACTTTGCTTAGCATTCTAAATAAAAGAAACATGTTAAATGGCCATAACATCAATGAGTAGACAATTAGTAAGTCATCTAAACTAGGATTGGTGTGTAGGTGCAAACAATTAACAAGAAAGGGCCTTGGGGCTGCACAATCAGCTCCAGGCCACAACCCATCAGAGGCTGATCGTTGTCCCCAAGGCTTCACAAGAATCTACTAACATAGTCTTTCTCTACTTACTCCTTGCAAGCAGCTGATGCCTTCTCCAGTTTACCAAGCAGTTCTAGTTCTTCCTGCAGAAATCCAGTAATCAGATATAAGTAAATAAACTTATCAGTGAATAACAAGAAATATACCGTCCTCCTGATGTTGGCAAAAAGGAAACAAGCTGACCAACCACATACAGTTTTAAGCCTTTTCCTTGTGTTATAAACTAGGATACAAAGGTCAAATATTTGTGTGTAGCCAAAAGGCATATGTTCGACTTTTCGTAGATTTAAAGATATGTTGAAAGATCTACACCATTACATCAAGGCAGAACAGAGGTCCATGTAACATAGGATCAACAATATCTGGTTTAATGGCCTCACAGACAACATCAGGTGATCAGGATTTGTGTTAGAAGACCCAATATAAACAATGCCATCTCAATTGCATGACATACAGAAGAGTATTTTGTACAGTAACTACACCAAGGTTCAGCAGAGGCAAAAAAAGTAGGTGTATTTCTTCCCATCTACCTAAACTTTGTGAGGCTGAATTACCCGATAACAATGCTAGTGCGGGAATGTTGGTACCCAGTCAAATAGTTGAGGTGCACGCAGTCTGGCACAAACATCACCATAAAAAATAATGGGCATTATAATGGACAAGAGCACAAGCTCAAAGTTCCATTGAACATAAAAATAGCTTAGAAAAGGATGGCAGATAAGGATCCTAGACGAGAAAGGCAACCTCAGAATGTCAATTAGTAGTCAATGAATAGCATATCTTGACAGCAGCATTTGATTTAAAGCTTTTTGCAACAAAACTGTGTTATGGATATCCCTACATTATGCACCAGAATATATAGCGATTGATCTTTCCAGAAAATAGGCAAATTGAAAAAGGTTTAAGTACTACTGTCAACTTGTTACTCTCGTGACATTGGAGGCACCTAATAATATAGCCAAGAAGTACTAACGCAGCTAAGGGAAAATATTGGCCAGTCACCATTTGAGTACTTCTAACAAGTGGCTGAGAGTTAGCAAACAACCTTGACCTCTTGGCAGGAATGTTTGCTGTGATTAATACATCAACAACTGCGAAAGGAATGCTTAAGTCATCTCCTGGTGCTTGCAGAAATTTTCAGGTGCATCAATTCCTATGTTTGATCGGATACGGCCCATACAGGTGTGGATCGTCATGACTTCAACTTTAGGATTTGATGACATGTATGGGTGCGAGGATCCGGGTTTAAATATTTCAAATTTCTAAAATAGAACTATTATAACTTTAAAGTTCTCACATACTAAATAAATTACTAAAGAAAACATCAAATGAAGGAAATGTAGACACCCAAATTCCAATATTTGCTCCGAACAATTCTATATTGTTCCTTTTACGAGAGAGCAAAGTAGATTATAATGCATAAAAATTGATCTTTGGCTACTATGGTAGGTGGATTGCTTCTCTTAATGTTGCGAATCATTGAGTAGGTGCTCCAAATCCTTTCACGACAAGGGAAGATGTTGGCGAAAGCAACACGTATGCCATCCTTTGCAAAAGTGAAACCGAGATATCCTAATTTGTTGATCAAGGAAGAGACTCCTCATACATCATAGCCTCAATCACATGAGACTCAAAAAAAATCCTTTATCATTAGAATTTCTAAAGTATTTGATCCTAGTCATAAAATCCTTTATCTTCATTAGGAACAAGTTATTAAATTCCATTGCTTCCACCTTGAACCCATGATTTATGATAACATATTCAACTAGTGAACGTGTCATACAATGCAAACAGTATTACTCTTGTTTCACATAACCATAAGAAATACTCCCCTCATTTCAATTTGTTTGCCCTACTTTCCTTTTTAATTTGTGTAAAAAAGAATGTCTCTTTCACTTTTTTTGAAAACTCTTCAATTCTAGTTTTCCAATTGACATGTTTAAGACCACAAGACTAAACGACATTTTAGTACATTCTACATATCTTTAGGTTAAGACCACAAGATTAAAAAAAATTCTTTATTTTCTTAAACTTCGTGTTAAGCCAAAATCAAACAAACAAATTGATATGGAGGGACTACTTCAATTGTATACAAAAGAAATCTCATCAGCCAGTAATGAGATTCTTTCTTTTGTGTGCAAAGATAACTATATTCACTAGCTAAATCATTGTGCCTGCCATAAGTATAGGACAATCAAGATTCGCACCTCTAAGCATGGGTACAATTAGTTCTACAAACTTCAGAAATTAGAAAGGTGAGGGTACACGTGCAACCATTAACTTCGGGTGCAGCAAGGATCATATATTGGTTTGTGCACCATTAAACACAAAGGCTAATTTAGTGCACTGGTTTGGCGAGTGCAGAAGTTTGGAACTATGAACCACAATGTGTAAACTTATATAAATTGTTTTGTGTTAATTGATCTTATTCAATTTATATTTATACATTAATTGGGGTTTATGTGTGTTTAACAACATTTTTCCACGCTTCGACTAAGATGCATCCCCCCTCTGGTGGTGCCCTCGTCATCTTCAAATCTTATGTTCTCCTCTGCCTCCCTCTATGAACACGAGTTCTTGTGTTTAAAAAGCATTGGGTTTTGTTGATAAATCCCTAGTGGCAAGTACGTCACATATCAAAGGTCTCAATAGACCTCTATGCGAGATGAGAAACATAATCAATACTCAAAAGATTGCAATTTTGAGTTTAAAATTGAAAGCATTTCCTCATTGACAATGCAAGTGAAGCGCTGGTAAGGCATGCACATTTTCAGCAAAAAACAGATGTTTCTTTTTCAATATTCTTGGGTTATATTTTTGCTAGTTCCCATGGCAAATGCAGATAGAAATTAATAAGGAGAGTGAAAGAGAGAACCTGTAAGAAGCGAATTTGTTGGTCAAGTCGCTTCAATTCAGCCAAAATCCGATGCTTTCCCCTTTTATCATTCGATTCCACTTGCTCCGATTGCATCTCTCTTTCTCTGCCAAACACCCTAACAATCAATTTTTATCAACTACAACTGTGGCCATAACTGAGCCGTTAGGAAACCAGAGATTCGTTGAAGGGGACATTGGGGAAGTAGGAAAAGCAGCGAACTTTTGGGTTTTCCACTGGAAAATTAAAGCTGAAAAAGAAAAGATACGTCAGTATTTGAATACGTGTCTCTATTTGTTCGACTCGTGTGAAATGAAATGCTTCTATTTTTTTTATATATAAATTTAAGTATTATTTGTACATAATTAAAATTAGAGAGCTTAAATATAAATTAAAAAAGACAAAATGATGTATTATGCGATATTTTTATCTTTTCTCAGTTTCCACCTAGCGGTAGCGGTCGGTGTCAATCAGGCAGTGCTCGTGAACCTGGATTTGACAGTCTCAATTGTGTAACAAGTGACTCGTGAAATAACAACATACCTGTGCTCCTTCTCCTACTTCATTCAAAGGCCAAACCTAAATTTAATTAAAGGGAAAAAGTACAAATATATCTTTAACTATAGTAAATGATATACATATATTCTTTGATATATTTTTAAAATATTAATGTCTCTGTCATCCAAAAATTAGAGCATATATACTTTTTATACTAATGTACATACATGTGTCATAATTTTATCCACCGACCCGATATTTATTAAATATTGGATCGACGAATAAGATTGTGCCACGTATCCCTATTTAGTCTTCCGTTAGAGTGAAGGGCATATATGCTCTAGTTTTTGGACAGCAAGAGCACCAATGTCCCAAAAATATGACGAAGAATATTTGTATACTTTTACGATAGTTCGGAGTGTATTTGTGTTTTTTCCCTTAATTAAATGCACCAATAAAACTAGTCACATGAGTAATACATATCCCTAGTGTTTTCTTAATAACCTCACCTCTCATTTTTTTTTTTTTTGATTATATATGTTGTTTCAATTTATTTATTAAGACTTTATATATCTAGTAAAATTTTAGAAAGGTTAGAGTGTATGTAGATTTTATCACTACCTCTTTAGAGAGGTCATATTTGAAAGATTTTTGACTTAAGTGCAACAATATCAGGTATAAACAAGGAAAGATTATAACAATAAAAAACATAACAATTAATAGGAGAAGTTGTGCAATGCCTAAAAAAAATGAATAGCACTAGCCAAGACACAATAAACACATATGTGAAGATAAATATCAAAAACTAATATTAACCAGAGTATCACTAGTATAACGACAAACACCAAACAAGTATGAACCTTCGAAAGCAAAGTTTAGAATCTTAGCAGAAGTATTTCTTTACTAGCTATTCTTATATCAATTACCATTTCGCTTGTCAGTGAAGTCAAATTCTAAGCCGACATTATCAAGGAGAAAATTTAAATACTTTAATACTAAATAATTTCGTGCCATATATGGATATCTTCAAAATTATTAGTAATATTTATGTTTTCCTCCTATACGTGTGTATAACATCAACAAGGAGTTAAATATACATTTTATTGAACACGTTAGCTTTAAAAGAAAATATACTCATCATATGCTACTTGAAAATTTAGACCCTTCAAATAATTTACGCAGTAATACAAGAATGATATGTTGTACTTTTAAGAGAAATATCAGAACAATAGGGTCCCCGTTATAATAGTGCAACCAAACGAAACATAAACAAAGGAATATCATTTATAAGAAAATATTAATATTATATTTGAACATTTGACTAGTGAATATTTAAAAAAAATGCGTCTATTTAAAGTTTATAATGATCCTGAGCATCTAGGACATGTTTGGCTCCAAAAAATAATAATAAGAAAATGGTGTAGACAGTGAAATTTTATTGATAAATTCATATTAAATTTTGGATTAATTCATAAATTCATGATATATTGACCATTCAAATTACTGGTTAATAAAATCATATTAATATTTAAGTCAAAATATATGACTTAAATAAAATCCAAATCATATTTGGGTCAGTCTATTAAGTTTACAAGACGAGCCCAACTCATGTTCTTCAAGCCAAATGATCAAAATTGCTTGGACAAAAATACCCCTAAAATCCTAGCTCAAGCCTATATAAAGAGGTCTTCTAAAGACAAAAAAAAAAAGACGAAAGAAAAAAGAAGAAGACACATAGAAATACATAGAGAATCCTTGCTTTTCAGTGGTGATTTGGAAGTCTTCCGCATACAAAGAAGTCTTCGCTCCAAGTGTTGAGCCGTAAGTACAAAGAAGTCTTCGCTCCAAAAGTTGAGCCGCAAGTATTCCATCAAATCAAGAACATCATTGAAGAGAGAAGAATCATGGGGTTACATATCTTTTCTTAAAGATTTTATAAAGATTGTAACCTTCGCATAAATTCAAATACAAATATTATTGTTTGTTTGCTATTTTCCTTTCCTGTTTGTTGTATTTCAGGATTGAAACTTTAGACGCATACATTTTTTGGCTATACAATTTGTTATTACTTGGCAATATCCCAAGTTTTCAAATAATAGAAAAAACTAGTATTTTGATCAAGTCCTAGTTTTTGATAACTTTTAAAAAATTTAAAATTACCCGATTTTTTTATAATTTATAAAAAACACCCATTATTTGTTAATTTTAACAAATATTTATTTACTTCCTCTGAAAAAGTTTGAGTTATAATTTGAGTAATAAGATTGAGAAAAAAGAACAATTTGTTTTAATGAGTTATAATTCATCATGAATCAGTGATAAGTTTGAATATGTGAATAATGTATTATTCTTGCCCATATTGTTATTTTGTTGTTGATGATGATCAATTATATTATAAGTTATTTTTTAACGAAACATGTTCTTATAAAATGATAATACAAATTTGAAGGTGTTTTTAATAATTATTAGAACTTATGAGTAAAAATAATATCTTTTAAAATAATCAAATATTTCCCTCAAAATTTATGGCCTAACGCATGATGAAACTTCACCCAAAAATGATTTGCCAAGAATATTTGGAAGTTTGGAATCAAACGCTAGCTTATTTACAAAATTAGCATGGAGATGTGTGATTTACCAATACAACTCCTTAGGATATTCTGATATCTTGTGTAATGAACTATGATTTGCTCAGTTGGTAAGAATGTCGAAGAATGTTGGGAAATTTTTCATAGATTTTTTAACTTTGTGGGATTTTATGAGGAAAAACACAATTTAAGATATTCAAACTATATATTCTAAGAAAATGTCAATATTATATTAATCTGATTTCAATTTATAATTTCATATCACATATCCAAACAAGCTCTTATACCTTGTAAATCAAAATATGTGGGGAAAAAAATAATCACATATGGTAATTGTTGACACCCAATTTTGGCCTAACATTTTCAAAATTCGTAACTTTTAAGTTTTATTTATTTAATAGTTTAAAATAATTTTTTTTATAATTTTAAAATAAGTTTATCGATAACTTTCCTTATTTATGAAAATTTAAGAATTTTATCAGTTAATTTTAAAATTGCATTTTTTTTACATGTCATTAGTTACGTTTATTATATTTTTTTAATATTGATTTTATTCATTACATTTGTTAATATTCATTTTGATATTTTGCACAGTCTAGAAATTCATTCAAATATAGATAAGATTTCGTACACAAATATTTTATTAACTACTGGTTTCGGCCCAAGGTTTCTATATAATGGTATTGCACTATAGGTGGTTTTCAATTTTTCTATATAAGTTATTTCTTAGTGATTACGTTAGGGGTGGTGAAAATATTTTTAGGTTAGGGTTTCAGATTTTTATTCACAAAGGATTTCACTCTTCACTATTTTTCGGTCACCACCGCCCGAAATCCGGCGAAGTTTCGGCAACCCAAAACCCTGTTTCCTTTTGCCATTTCCAACGAACATCAACTTCGGCTAAACAATAACCAAAACAACTCCAAGTTCTCTCTAAATTCCACCTCCAAACCTCACTGCCAGATCACACCTCACCAAACAACCATCTAGCCTTCTTCTCCATCAGTTCGCACCACCATCTCCATCGGTCAGCAACTCAACGGAGAAATCATCTCCGGTGAAACCCCGAACAGCCACTAGTCCCCATCCCCATTTTCTTTGACAATCCACTTAATTTTGCAAGTATTTTAGCAAACCCGCGTCGCTGCTGCTCAAAGCTCCGACAAGCAACAAACCACCAACTCACACCACCATTGCCTCCTCGTTTCTCCGTTTTTTCCAGACCCCAAAACCCCATCTCCATTCGCCACATTTCTGAAACAAGCTCACCAAAAAAACCACCAGAAGCCCGCTGCTACCAGTGACAACACCCTCTGTAACACACCTAAATACTAACCAAGAGTCGCATATCGATTTACTGTTGCTTAATTACTAGAATATGTTTTAGTCTCATTTTGGGAACTTGAAGTGTTGTGATAATTGCCAACTTGCTTAGCATAAATTCTTATCGTAATTTAAGGATTTGTGATGGGGTGTTTAGGTAATATCCTAATTAGAATTATGTATAACTTTAAAAGGAAGGTAAGGGATATACATATAGGTATATATGTATGCTTTTTGGGCAGCCAACTTTTTGTTTGGGCAGCCCCTTTTGGTGACATTTGTACAGGTGATAAGTATCACCTGTGTAACTATATATTTTCACACCTGCTTCAATTAAATTCATTTCCCTCAAGTCTAAGAACATTAGAACCTTAGCTAAATAGTTTATTCTTCAAAATCACAAAAAAACGTGGCCCTTTTTGGCTGGAATTCAAGAACACACACTTCTTGTTGGTAAGTGACAAAAATCTATTTCTGAGCTGGGTAGTGTTTGGTATTTTATGCATATCTCTCACTCTAGAACTTATTTTACAGTGAGTAAATATGATTTGGAAAGATAATTCATATACCTACAACTCTTATGTTTATGTCAAACTCTGATTCAGCTGTTATAGACTCGAAATATTGGACGCAACATAGAACAAGTTCTGTCCAGATTTTGGAATTACAAATTCTGTATGAACAACTGTTAGTGTTTTGACTATATCTTGTTGTACAAAATACATTTTGCGGTGATTATTGTTTGTTTGCAACCCTAAGAGATGTATCTACATATTTCATGAAGGTTATAAAGTTTAGTTTTGTTGTTTTCCGTTTCAAATCTAAGTTGCGACATGAGGTACTAGGCTGGCCAGAATCACTGTTTTGGGAGCATTATTGTGTTTGTGCAGACTAATTTTACTTGTGATGATGATTCTATTTTACATCAATATTATTGAGCTGCTAGGGATTAAAGAAGTTGTGTAATTGTATTTTAAAGGTTGTATATACTCGTGAACAAGTTGAGGACATTGATACATTGGTTGGACTGTTTCTTTGCTAAAGCATTGAGGTTTGTGTATAAACTTGTACTTGCACTCTTTTAACCTCTAGTATATTTGAAATTGGATCTTTGTACCTTGGTTACCTCTTGTCACTTTGCATTGTTGTGTTGGTATCCTTTGAGACGTTAAAGATGCTTGTGTAACTCGCCCACTTGTACGGATTGTTTGATCACTTGACACTTTTGTTGGGACCTTGTCCTTCTTGTGGCTGTGACTTTGTCACTATTGGCATGCCTCTTGATTCGGATCATTTGTCATCTTGACTCTGGATTTTTAGTCCGTCTTAAGAATGGAAGTTGTCCATTTTTAAGTACGAACTAGAAAGCCATTTTTAATATGGTTCTTGGTTCTCTTGATTATTGGGCTTTGACCCTTCTTGATACTTGCTTGTGCTTGGTGTGAGGACATGATGTACATATTGGGCGAGCCTTATTGTTGAATATCTTGGAAAATGATGCTATGAACGTTCTTGACATTTGGGTCTTTAAATATCGAACTTGATACTCTTTATATATTGTTTACTTGATTTATTAATTATGTTCAATTATGTTACCCATGATTTGAGAAAGTTTGTTTTGTAAATCGGATGGCCCCGAAACTATAGTTTTGCACCACTAAGCTATATGCTTAGCGATAGTTGTTTCTATCGTAGGGAAATGATCGAGTGGATGCATGAAGCTGGCTATTGGAGATGGAAATTTTGAGAGCCTTAAGGAAGATCACATTTGCATATAGACATCTATATTTTGTATAAACCTTGGGACTTGTACATAATCTATGTGTTGTATATTTACATGAAATTTTGAGGACTAAATTGATCATGTTGCTATGGGTTGTAATATAAATATGGCTCTATGTTTTGACCTTTTGGGGTATGTAAGCCCAAGTCTTGTAATATATTAAATTTATCACTAATTTTGTATGATTGTGTGAAGGATGAAAGATCTAGTTCGGATACTCGGAAGTTGGTAGTATTCTTTTACGTCATTTTCGTCTAGTGTGAGGGCAATATATGTATAAAAATCTCGTAAGTTATTGACTTATATTATTTCAGAAGGGTCTTTACACCCTCACTGTTCTCCCACTTCTCCGACAAGCTCACACAACCAACAAACTCTGTTTTCTCTGACAGAAAGCTAGCCAACCAAACCCCCAAATCAACCAGAAACCAGTCCCAAGACCCACGACCCAAATATCCTCATTTTTCGGGTAAAACAACCGAGCTCCAAGCAGTCATCTCCGACCCAAAATCACTAGATCTCACTCCAAACCGGTCAACAACAACAAGAGAGCACTGCCGGAAGGACCACCTGGAAGCTTTGAGCTACAAGATTTAACAATCAATGAACTCACTCACTAGTTCAAATCAGCAACACAACACTGTCAATTCCAGCAAATGGGTAAGCCTCTTTATTTTTATCTTTTGCTATTTTACTTTGTTTATTTTTTGCGCTTTAGATTTGGCCGGTGTTATTTTCATTTCTTGTTTTTCTTTGATAAAGTTCTGATTAGCCAGGGGCGGCTCAACGTAATCGGAGGCCTAAAGCAAAATCTTAATTAGAGGCCTAAAATTTAAATAAACTTCACATGCATTTATTTAAAATTTATTTTTCTTACATTTTTAAATGCAAAGTATTATCTAATATTTTTATATATATATAATGATTTATTCGATTTCTTTTTCAATTATTAGTTTTAAATAAGATTTTATTAATTCAACGTTGAAAAATATTATTTTACTCGGGCAATCATTATATGAATTGTTAACATAGTTCTATAAGTAATAAGTTGACAAATTTCAAATAAATATAAGAGTTAGAACCATAGTTTTGATGAAGTTGATAATTTGGTTACCCCACATTTATTGTAATGCTTGAAAATCTAAGAAGAAATGGAAAAAGAATTTACAATTCAATTTGTTCAACACTTTTCGACTATTAATTGATATTTTTGAAAGAATATTACTCTAATTTATCAACAATTTAAAGAAGAGAGCAGAAAAGGAGTTAAAAAGAAAATAATGTGAGTATTAGTAGAGAGAGTGTAAGAAAATAAAACAATATTTTCTTGATTTCTTCTATTTGAATGAGGTTGAAGAGAATAAAATAATAATTTTAAATATATACTTTTTATCATAAATAATTAATGTTTTTCTTTAAAAAATTAACACATAATTTATTCTTGGTAAAAAATTGAGGCCCCCTAAAATTGGGGGCCTAAGGCCAATGCCTTATTTTTGTATACATAGAGCCGGCCCTGTGATTAGCTGTGTTAATATTTTTACCATGTTATTTTGTTTTGATTGTTTATTCACGATTTTTGTATTGATTTGCTGTGTGTTTTGCCTCTTATATGGTTATGCTTCGAATTTTTTATTTTAAACAAAATATCTAGTGGTTAAGGAATTTTCTCAAGTGTGATATCATTCTCTATTTATTGATGTGTCATTATGATAAGTTGCTATTAAATATATTTCATATTGTTTCATGTAGTTGCCTCAATCGGTCAGGTTACATTTGTTATAGTTTAGTTTCTATTGTTTTTATCCAAGTTTTTACTTATTTTTTAATCTATTAGAGTTTCAATTCTCAAATTAGTTCTTGGTTGATTTTTTTGTTATGTATTGATTGTTTTCTCATTAAGTGTTTGTTTGTTCTTATCTTTAAATATTTCTTTAAAATACTTTATTTATTCTTCTTCCAGTGCTGTAGTAATTAGCTTATACATTACCAATTAAATGGCCAATGAGAAAATCTCTCCGTCGGTTTTGGTGGCCTCCTCATTTTAGAAAATGGAAATTTAGTTCATGTTTATATTCTTTATATGTTAAAATTGACGGATGAAAAAAATTACCATCGATTTCCAAGACTTTCCATGTTAATAAGACGGATGTTTATTTTTAAGTTATTGTTTAATTCATTTATTTTTAGTCATATTTATTTGGTACTAACACTTTTACTAAGTGTCATTACAGGTACCCGGAGTTGCTTCTCATTGAAGCTAATCGAATGGAATTCGAATTATATTTTTATTCGTTATTGTGTATATTATCGATGTTAGGCAAACCTTAGGCCGCTTATTAAATTATTGTTTTATTTTATTACTTGTGTATATTGCATGATTGTTATACTCGTATACTACTTTATCTCCTCCTTAATTTGAAAAAAATGAATTCAGCCGGAACCCACAGTTGTAGATTTTGAAGGATGGCTAACACCTTCCCTTCAGAATAACTTGAACCCCTTACCTAGAATCTCTTGGTTTCGTAAATCATTTAATTGGTTTCCTAGTTTTTTCTAAAATTAGGTGGTGACTCTTTTAAAATTCATTTATTCTTAAAATTCTTTTAAAATTGATTCAATTGTTCATTTTTTGAGTCACCGCGACGTTTCTCCTTATTTGAATAAAGTGGGAATGTAAATAGTAATTATATTTTGATTGTTCACTTTTGTAGGTTCAAAGAATATCCAAAAATGAAACTAAAGAAAAAAAAAGAAAAGACATAAAATCACCAATGAATTTGTTTCAAATTTTTGAAAAAAACACCTTAATTTTGAGGACGTTCTATCACCCCACAAAAGTATTGAATATTTTTGTAAAAGGACCATTTTGACCCATTTTCTCATTATGTTTGTGA